CCGCCACACCAAGAAAGGCTGCCAGCGCTCGGTTACAGAGAGACCACTGAAGTAAACATCCAGCAGAGGGTCGCAGATGAGCTGGCTGAAGAAGCAGGCAAGGGCGAAGGGGTTCGTGGTGATGTCCAGAGACTTGAAGAACAGCACAGCGGTAATGACAGCAAAGCAAACCAAGTTGGCAAGAGCCAGGACAGCCTTCATCCGGAGGGCAACCATGACCGTGGCCAGAGCCACCATCAGAACCATCACACTCAGGGACTTCTGGATGAGCAGCGCTGTGCTGGCGGCAGCGAAGCCCGCCAGTTCCAACCGCTCTGCCGACGTGAGGAAGGCAGGACGGTACCTGGTACATCCCAGAAGTCTCTCCAGCAGCGCCCACATTGTCCTCAGGGCCACGCTGGCCAGCAGCATGTAGTTGGCCACCTGCTCCTTCATGTCGCTTTCCAGAGCGGGACTATTGAGGAAGCAGAGCAGACCCAGCAGGAAGCCGAACAACAGGTGGATTAGGCTGAGGCTGACCCTCTCCATGTTGAAGTAGTAGTACAGTATACTTGCAATTCCGATGACAAACAGAGCCAAAATGAAAATGACAAGAAGAGTAGACTCCGCGGTCCTCTCCCACCGGGCATAGAGCCCCAGGGACAGGGCGACCAGCAGGTTGAGACTGGACAAGTAGCCCAGCCACCCAACAGACGACCACACGTTCACATCACCGTTGATTTCCTCCAGCCTAGTCATCGCTGCATGAAGGCAGTGGCTAACACAGTAGCGTAAAAAACGACACATTCTGATATTAAAAACAAACTATCCAAATCCAAAAACAGGCACTCTGCTAACTTAGTTGGTTTACTATCCGTTCTGAGATCCCGCAACACCCAAGTTTAGCTAGCTGTTGAAATTAGCTAGCATAGCAACTGCTAGCTATCAGCTGTTCATCTTTACACCGGTCAGCGTTAGCAGCTTAACATTCACATCTTGAAGAAGGCTGTGTTCTTTTTATCCGAGGTTCGATACAGTAATGAAACGACGACTTAAACTCTGTCAGGAGCGTGAATGACATATCAGTTCAAAAAGTTTGTCACATCAAAAGTTTTGTCAGCAGACAGTCGCCATGTTTCCGCTCCAACTACGGCAAGTGCCAAGAGTCAGATTCTGGTCCCAATACTCAAACATTTCGATATGCCGTTTTGTTCTTACGGATTAATTTAATAATAGGTCATTGATTGACAAAAAATAATAATAAAAGGTTGTCTTTTGAGCTGACTTACTTGTTTCCAAAACCTTCAACAGCACTTTCCATGGATCACGAGCATTAATTACTGAACGCGCAGGACACTGGGCATCCAGATCCTCTGTAAATGGAGTTATTTCTCGTTTGGAAGACTTAGCGCTCAGTTAAAGACATCCTGACCACAAAGAGATGATAAAACAATTTACTTTTACCCTTAAGGATGTTTGCGGCACCAGTGGACAAACCTGAAACTAAAGACCTCCATTTATCATGGGATCAGCTTCCTTTATATCTATGTTCCAGATAACTCAAAATTACATCTGGCTGCTACTGTAGCACTTTAGTCAACAATGTTCAGTTAAGCAGCATCTATAAATGGCTTGTTCTGTGCTCCAAAGTACAAGCAAAAATGTATCAGGACAATTGCTGGGATTTAAAACACAGTGGAAAGATGAGTCCAAGTCTTACCACTGCAACGCTACCTTTCTCAATAGTCTGTTTTGTTTTTTTTTCAAACTATAACAAAAATAATACAGAAGATGTGATCACAGTGCCCAAACTGCCTTAAAGTCTAGGTATAGTATGTATAACAAATCTAATATGAAAATTATTCAATTTCCATTAATGTTTTAGCATATGACTTGCTCTACCTCCTAAGTCAAAAAAGCCCTGTCATAACTTTAAACTATAAACAATGTAGTACTTTAACTGTTCAAAAAGTAAAGGCAAAATACACAGGAAAAACCCCACACAGACACTTTGCATTGACATTCATTTATAAAAGTAAAATTCAACCATACTATAAGCACACATTGTTCTGCACTGTTAAAAATGCTGAAAATGGGTGAACCATCTCATGCAAATGGGCCAAAAGAAACAGTGGAAGACAAATACACCAATTAAATCACAAAACATGCTTCTTCAAGGTCTCAATAAGTATGGTACTAGAAAATGTTTTCTTCTGTTAAAAGAGATATCAGCAGAGAGATGTGCATCAAGTGGAAATGATACAAGAACAGCAGCACCACACTGCATTAGATCAACACTGGAAATGTTTCCTGTTTGCCATTTATAGTACATGACAAAGAAGAACTTGTCAGTTTGCATGTACTATGTGGCCAAAAGGTTTGAGTTTCATTTTCTTCAGGGACATGAAAATCTGCTTGCAACATAACTGTGAACAAAGAAGGCACAAAAAGACTCACTGGTACTAATTTATAGGCCCACCATGCTGGTTGTAAAACCATCATCACAGGAAAATAATTATATTTTGTGACACCCTTTGGGATCAATGATAAAGTGCCACCGACAAAAAAAACAAACAAACAAACC